TGGAGCACTTCCTCCCCCGCAGGCCCCCCACGTCTTCCCTGCCACGGCCCTCGTGTCACCCGCTTCCCGAGGAGGGCCCTCCTCTCCCTCCGACTTCCCCTTGACATGGAGCCACTGGGGCTCCCACGTCCCCGGTGGGTGACCTAAACAGCTCCAGGGGCCCCTCGTGGGGTCTCCCGCCCCGGGTGTGCCGTGCGTTGGGGGGTGTGGACGTGCAGTTTTTCTTTCATTCTTTTTTTTTTTTTTCTTGTGAGGAAGATCAGCCCTGTGCTAACATCTGCCAATCCTCCTCTTTTTGCTGAGGAAGACTGGCCCTGGGCTAACATCCATGCCCATTTTCCTCCACTTTATATGGGACGCCGCCACAGCATGGCTTGCCAAGCGGTGTGTTGGTGCGCGCCCAGGATCTGAACCGGTGAACCCCGGGCCGAGGCAGCGGAGCGCACGCACTTAACTGCTTGTGCCACCAGGCCAGCCCCTCGTTCTTTGTTTTTTAATTGAGATATGATGCACATATATGATTCAGTGGCTTTTAGTGAATTCACAGGGTTGTGCAACCGTCACTTCTGTCTAGTTCCAGAATGTTCCATCACCTCAGAATAAACCTCGTCCCCATCAGCAATCACTCCCCCTCCCCCTCCCCCGCCCCTGACAACCACAAACCCGCTGTCTGTCTGTGGATGTGCCTGTTCTGGACATTTCACATCAATGGGATCACACACCGTGTGTCCTTCTGTGTCTGGTTCTCTCACTAAGCGTCGTGTGTTAAAGGTCCGTCCACGGTGTGGCTGTGTCAGGGCGTCACTCCTCTTCATGGCTGCATCATATTCCAGTATGTGGGTGTGCGCGTCATGAGGATCCGTTGACCCATTGATGGGCATTTAGGTTGTTTCCACTTTTTGGCAATTGTGAATCACGCTGCCGTGAACATCCGTGTACAGGCTTTTGTGTGAACGTATGTTCCAGACGTGGCTGAATCTGATGGGGGGATATTTGGGGACGTGTCGAGGTCAGGGTTGGGGGTGAGGGACTCAGTAATCCAGACCCCCGCTCGTGCCTCCCACCCTCGCTGCCCCCGCCCCTCCACACCCTCCTCTGGGTTCCCCCTCTCTGGGGTCTTGGCTGGCCACCCTGCCCTCCCTCCCTGCCCCCCAGTGCCCATCCCCCTGCCGCCCTGCACACTTGTTCCTCGGGAGCAGGTGCTGCCCTGACCGCTCCTCCCACCTGGACCCCTAGCTTCTCGGCCGGGCTCTGGGGAAGGTTCTCTCCCACCTCGGACCCCCCTCACGCAGTCAGCAGGGTGGACGTCCACCCTGAGTGTCCCCTCCAGGCGTCTCGGGTGGCCGCGCGTCCACCCATAAGGACACTTTCCGTCTGCCAGCCCAGGGCTTCTGGGAAGCCAGGATGAGGTCACGGCTCAGGAAAGTGCTTTGCAAACTCTCGCAGCTCCCCCCGGCCCCCCTGGCAGGGGCGGCGGCATCGACTGCTCTGCAGATGGATCCATGGCAATCGGAGGGCTCGCCCGCCCTCCAGCAGGTTCCCAGTAGTTACTGGCATTGGCAAGAGCGAGCGTGACATTCTTCTACAGGAAGCCCCTTGGTTTGCACGGGGCCATGGCCAAAAAAAGCCCCGCTCCGTGGTCTGTGTCAAGAAACCCCACTGCTTCGTGGTCTGCGCTAAGGGCCACGGACAAGAAGGAACACCCGCTGTGTGGTCTGCGCTGAGGGCCGCAGCCAGAAAACCCCCACTCTGTGGTCTGCGCTGAGGGCCACGGCCACGAGCCCCCCCACTCCCTGGTCTGTGTGAAGGGCCACGGCCAAGAAACCCCCCTGCTCCGTGGTCTGTGTCAAGGGCCTTGTCCAGTAGGAGCAGGGTGTGGGCATCTCGGGAGGGTCTCTGCAGGGAAGTTGAGGCACCAGGAACCAGGGACAAGAAGGTGGGGTGGTTTGGAGGCCGCCAGCTGCCCCGCAGCCAGATTCTCAGAGAGGGGACCCTGCCGTAAGCCTAGGTCAGGGTCCGGCCTCGGGAGAGGGCTCCGGCCCTCCTGACCGTGGTCAGGGGCGGCGTGCTGGCTCAGGCCGGTGGGCCCACCCTGGGCAGCCGGCCCCACAATGGTGGGCTCACAGAGCCGAGCTCCCTGTGGGCCGTGTGAGCGTCCCGGGGCCCCCACAGCACCACACACCGGGTGGCTTAAAACCACAGAGAGTTATCCCTCATGGTTGTGAGGCCAGAAGTCTGAGGTCAAGGTGTCACAGGGCTGCGCTCCCTCCGGAGGCCCGGGGAGGGCCCTTCCTTCTTCTTCCAGCTCCGGGGCTCCCGGCGTCCTGGGCTTGTGGCCACATCACCCCCATCCCTCCCCTGTTGTCACACGGCCTCCTGTCTGTGTCCAAATGTCCCTCTTCTTATAAGGACACCAGCGATCGCAGTAGGGCTGCCCCACTCCAGTAAGACGTCATCTTAATGCACCACATCTGCAAAACCCCATTTCCAAACGAGGTGCCAGGGGTCCGGCCTTGAATGTGTTACTTTGGGGGACACAGTTCAGGCTTTAACCGGAACGTTCTAGCAGCAAGGTGCGCCCGAGGGGCTGTGCAGTGCCCTCCCTGCCTGTGTGCCCAGTGCGCTGCCCACCCCTCCCCCGGCCTCAGTTTCCTTTGCTGTAACTCGGGGATGGACAGGCTGGCTCTGCCGGCCCGGCCAGCGTGTGCGTGGAGGATGGGTCATGGGATGCGGGAGAGACAGGCCGAGGCAGGTGGGGAAGGCAGCGCTGAGAGCCCAGAGCAGACCCCGGGGGCTCAGGAAACCTGGGGCAGCTGGGCCGCGCGGGGTGAGCAAGGTGGCCGGGTGCCCGGTGGTGAGGACCCCTGTGCGGGGACCCCTCCTTGTCCTCAGACCCCAGCCACGCACCAGCCTCCCTGTCTCCTCAGGGCCACCTTGCCAGTCGGCCAACCCTCTGGTGATGATATACGGGGGACAGACAGTCAAAGTTTAGAAACTTTGCTGGCAACTTGACAAATTTTATGCTACTTAAATCTAATGATAAAAAGTTTGTGCTTTGTATGTCTTTGCGTTTCAGTTTTCTAGTAATTCTTTTTAAAATTGAGACTGAATTTGCATACCTTAGAATTCAGCCTTTTAGATTTTTTTTTTATTTTATTTTTCCCCCCAAAGCCCCAGCAGATAGTTGTATGTCATAGCTGCACGTCCTTCTAGTTGCGGCATGTGGGACTCGGCCTCAGGATGGACGGAGAAGTGGTGCCTCGATGCGCACCCGGGATCCGAACCCGGGCCGCCAGCATTGCAGCGCGCGCACTTAACCACCAAGCCACAGGGCCGGCCCAAAAATTCAGCCTTTTAGATTATATTCAGGGTTGTGCAACTATCACCTTTATGTAATTCTAGAACATTCCATCTCCCCAAAAAGAAACCCCGTCCCCATCAGCAGTCACTCACCTATCCCCGACCCCAGCCCCTGACGACCACGAACCCACTTTCTGTCTGCGGGACTGCCTGTTCTGGACATTTCACATAGGTGGAATCACACACCGTGTGTCCTTCTGTGTCTCATTCTCTCACTGAGCATCGTGTGTTCAAGGTTCATCCACGGTGTGGCTGTGTCAGGGCTTCACTCCTCTTCATGGCCGCATCATATTCCAGTGTGTGGATGGACGCGCTGTGTGGGTCCATTCATCTGTGGATAGACACTCGGGTTGTGTCCCCTTTTGGCCGTTGCGAGTCGTGCCTCTGTGGACACGTGTGCAGGTCTCTGTGGACATGTGTGCAGGTCTATGTGGACACGTGTGCAGGTCTGTGGACACATGTGCATTTCCCTCGGGCACGGGCCTGGGAGTGGAGTTGCAGGGTCATGTGGTGACTTTAGCTTCCTGAGGACCTGCTGACTGTCCCCAGAGAGGCTGCCTGCTCCCCGTCCCCACTGTGGTGTGGGGCCCTGAGTCCCCACCTCCTCACTCCTCTGACCCTGGTGACCGGGTCTGAGCCCGGCTGCTCGGCCGGTGTGGACTGGGGTCGGGCTGGATTCCGTGTGTGTCTCCCTGTTGCTCACGTGCTGTCTGTCACGGACGTACCGGCCCAGCCCCAGCGGCGTGTTCAGCAGCTGTTTGCTCCATTGTCGGGGTTCTGTGGGTGGGGACAGGGTGGGATCTGCCACAGTGGCCTCATTGTGTCTGCAGCGTCGGACCCTGTGACCATGCATTCTCCCTGGCCCGACATGTGCCGCATGTGCCCACAACTGCCGAGCAGGCGGCCGGGGGCTCCCCTGCCAGCCCCTCCTCTCAGCTGTGTGAGGGCTCCCCAACACCAGAACCGTCCTTGAAGGCGGGTGTTCTTTGAACAGCAGTCATTTCCCGAGGGCTGGGGTGTCTGTGCCACACCCACCAGCCCTGCCTGTGATCCACCCTCTGTGCTGGGCTGAGGGCTGTGGGGCAGGCTGGGAGGGGAGAATGGGGACTTCAGGGACGCAGGCCCCTTGGCGAGGCTCCAGGAGAAGGACGAGGTTAGGGGCCTGGGTCCCCGGGAGGAGGCCCTCCAGGTGGCTGCACAGCATGGGCAAAGGTCCTGGGCTGAGCATGGGAGGCTGGTGATGGCCTTGGGTCCAGGTTGAGGAGCTGCGGGCTGGGCCTGGGGGCCATGAGAGGCAGAGAGGTGGGCCTCTGTTTCCTCCCTGTGACGCAGGGGCCTGTGCCCCTTAGAGTCACGGCTGTGGGCACTCGGGGAGCAGCAGTGGGTCCCTGCCAGGCCAGCTGGCGAGGGGGCGGGTGAAGCAGAACCCAGCGTACCCGCAGTCTGGGGAAACCGAGGCCAGGGCCGGGAGGAGCCTGCCTGGGCATCCCGCCCCCACCCCGAGCGTCCACAGGGGCCTGGCCACAGCAGACTGGGCGCCCGGGGCCGGGTGCCTGGGGCCGGCAGGGTGCGCCCCACGGGCGGGCGGGCCCCGCGTTGTTGACAGCCATCTGTGGCTAGATTCCGCCCCGTACAGTAATTCTCCGCGCTCTGCCAGTAATCGCCCTGACTTACCAGGCAGGCATCATTTCCTGAAAGTCAGCCGGCCTGAGGGGAAGTCGGCGTGGTGACTAAACCAACATGTAAATGCAGCCGGGCTGAGAGCGAGCGCTTCCGCCGGCTGCCCGCGGTCATGCGGGAGCCGCTCCCGCCGCCAGCCAGGGGCCCCCGCGGCGGCCGCGCCATGTCCCAGCTGCGCTTCTGGCTGCAGTTCGCAGCTCTCAACAAGGTAACGTGCGGGCTGCTCCAGCTCCGGCTCCTGGGCCAGGGAGGGCGCGCTGGCGGGCGGGACCCCGGCCCCCTCCCACCCACACCACCTACGGAAATGCCAGGACCCGCCGGGCTGGGGAGCCCCCTGCCCTGCGCCCCGCTCCTCTCCAGCCTGCTTTTTGGCAGCAAGAGTGATGTGGGGACTCGGGGCTTGTGGGACGGCCTGGGAGGGCGGCCTCAAAACGAAAGTGCTTGTTGTGGCGGGAGGGGCCCGCCACGCACGCCCCCCCCCCCACCGCCACGTCCCTGCCCCGTGACCGGGAGCATCTGAACTTGAGTGTCTCGTGGGCTCCCTGTGTCCTCGGAGTCTCGTGCGAGCCCAGGTGGGCGCGTTTGAGGTTGGCTCTGGTTGGACAGGTGGGAACAGGTCCCCTTCCCTCCGCGGGCTCCCCACGGATCCAGGCGGGCGTCCACCCGCTGCCTGCCCTGGGCAAGAGAGAGAGAACCTGTCTGTCAGGGTTTCTGGGGTCGGCTTCCCAGGCTGGGACATGGCACTGTGCAGGTAAAGCCCCTACGGGGGAGGCCCAGAGCCAGCTCCAAGGCAGGGGACCGTCCATCCCGCTGGGCTGAGGCCTCGGGGGCTCTGCTTGCTTAGCTCTATGGGGTCCTGCCAGCTCCTCGCCTGGCCCAGGGAGCCCCGAAACGCTGGGGATATGATCACAGTGGCAGGTGACACCATGCCCTCCTGGTCCCCCAGAACTGTCGGGTGACCAGCCAGCTCCGTCCCCACTCGGGGGCTGCATGGAAGGAGCCGGGTGTGGGCCTGTGGTCCTGGGAGGAGGTGCTCAGGGTGGGGGCCCAGGGAGGGCGATTCTGAGCCGGGGGCATCTTGGAGGGCTGCTGGTGGCTGCAGGGTGTCAGATCGCCACACTGGCGGCCCACTCCCACAGGGGGTGAGCTGGGACGGGCCCCTCGGAGCCCCACCTCCCCATGACACCTGGGACCCTGTGCAGCCCCGCCTCCTCTCAATTCTGATTCTGATGGCCGGTGGTCGGGGCGTCTGGTGGGGGTTGGCATCCGTGGCCGGGGAGAGAGCTCCTGCCTGTTACATGGACTGTTTCAGAGCAGTTTTAGATTCACAGGAAAGTCGTGAGGATCGTTCCGAGTCCCCTGTGCTCACCCCTCACATTAGTGCCGACGTCCTCACAGCTGCTGGGGTTGGGGGCCGGGGTGGGGGGTGCATTTTATGAACCAGAGTCCGCACTTTCCTCCGATTCCTCAGTGCACCTGGTGTCCTCTGTCCCAGGACCCCATTCAGACGTCATGGCTCCTTGGCCCCTCTGGGCGGGGATGGTCTCTGCCACGGTCCTCGGGTCCTCGTGAGGGCGCCCGGGGCCATCGTGAGCAGGACCAGGCAGGAGCCGGCAGGACGCACCTCTGCTGGGGCTCGTCTCCTGTTTTCTCAGGATCGCGCTGAGAGTGATGGGTTATCGGGGGGAAGACCTCTGAGGAGACGTGGCCTGTCATCGCGCCACATCAGGGTCCCTGCTGTCCACGCGGCTTCTCCCTGCTGACGGGGATCCTGACCTCCTGGTGGAGGGGGGCTGCTCGGGCCCTGCATTGGAGGGTCCCTGCCCCTCCACACTGTCCTCGGGAAGGGCTGCTGTGCGCAGCCCTCGCAGAGCGGTGGTGTCCCCCTGGGCGCACCGCCTTTTGCCGGCCCTTCTCCCCTCATCAGGGCTGGCCTGCCCACAGTGACCGTGTGGCCCTTGGGAAGCAGGGCCGTTGACTTGATGGCCCTGGGGCTGTCGTCACTCTGACTGGGCTTGGGTAGTGCCCGCCCAGAAGGCCACACCAGATGTGGCCCCAGAGAGATTCTACAAACACACGCGGCCACCTCCCCTGTACCCAGACCACTCCCCGGCCCGCCTGCAGGGGTCTCTGGGGGTCTCTGCCCTGTCACTTCACGGGGACCGGGTGGCCAGCTTCTGCAGTCCAGCCTTCCCTGGCATCGTCTGCCGTACTCGGGCCGGCCTACCTTGGACCCCAGCTGCCCGGGGATGGGGTGGAGCCCAGAAGAGGTCCCGGAGGGCAGAGAGCAAGCCTCGGGGTCAGCAGGGCCGGACCCGCCCACCACTGCCTCAGTTTCCCCCCCAGATGGCTGCTCTGGCCTGTAGAGTCACCAGGCTCTCGTGAGGGTGCCAGGCGCCCCAGGGAGCATTGAGGTGCCCCTTCCGCTCCTGGGCTGGGGTTGCCTCTTGCCTCTGTCCCGGAGCTTGGAGTCGGGGCTTCATCAACCTTCCCAGGCCCCTGTGCCCGAGCCTGTCCTGCCCGCCAACATCTGCCTCCCCATTGGGCAGCCGCAGGCCCCGCCTCCTCACCTGGACTTGCCCGGGACACCGCCAGGTCCTACTGGCTGGAGATGGTGGTGGGGAGGGTGGGGTCTGCCCCCTGGGGGTCCAGGCGGATGCAGCCAGGGGGCAGAGGCGAGGAGAGGCCTGGTGGTCAGAGCTCTCTCCTTGCACGCTGTGGAAGCGAGTGGCCGTCCCCTCAACTCCCCATGTGCCGTTGGTCATGGGGGGGTCTTTCCCACATGGCCTCTGACCCCCGGTCAGCACTAGGACCGATCCCATCCCGCAGATGGGCAGACTGAGGCCCCCCCGTCCCGCTATCCCCAGGGAGGCTGCTGGGTGGACCCTGGCCCCATCCCCGGGTGCGCTGGCGTCTGAGCACGGAGCCTTAGGAAGCCAGATGGTGTCACCTGGAGAGGCCCCACCCCAGGGAGTAGGGATCTGATTCTGACAGAGATCGATGGGAGGGGGGCCCCAGGAACATGGGGACATGGGGCAGGCCTGGCGCAGGCCGACCCTGGGGGCCTGTTCTCAGTGACCTGCCTTCTGCCCCCAGAAGCCAGCTCAGCTGTGGCCTCGAAGCCCGAGCTGGGCACATCGGGGCGGGCTTAGGGCCCAGGCGTCCCCTTCCTCCCCAGAGTCCCCTGATCTGAGACCCCTGCCGGTCAGCCCCCGCCATCCTCCCGGCCTTTCCCTGCTGGCTAGTGGGACACGTGCACCCGGCATTGCAGCTGCCCGGCCACGACTGCGAACAGCCCCAACAGGCAGAGACGTGTAAACAGTGCTCGGGATCTGGGGGTTCCCGAGGGCGGCTCTCCCCGGCTTCTCCGTGTAGCCTCGGCCATCCCCACCGGCCCCCACCCTGCTCGGGAAATGTGCCACCGAGTGACCTGAAATGTGTCAGGGCCACATGTCAGCTGACCCTGCCCTCTGCAGCCACGGTGGGCAGGCCAGGAGGGCCTGGGGGCCCCCTCCCTCTGGGGGTGGTCCCTCCCTGTGGGGGTCGGCTGAGGGCTGCTCCCCCACCCCCTGATCTGGTCCTGGAGGGGCTCAGGGAGGCGGACGGGCCTGCGCCCTCCCCAGCTCCGGGGCGCTCAGGGTCCCTGTCTGCAAAGCGGGCACCCCAACCCAGTGGGGCGCTGTGGGGTCTCTGGTGGGGGGCTCACTCCCCACTGGTCCAGGAACCCTGAGGGGCTGGTCCCCGCCTGTCCCCATGTCTAGCGCAGAATGGGCACACACAGGCCCGCTGTGCCTGTGACCAGAAGGGAGGGCAGCTCGGGGACCCCCTGGCTTTGCTCCTGCATCCTGACATCCCTCCACTAGGCCACTTCCTCCACTGGAAGGGCCAAGGGTGGCATGGGGCGCCTGGCACCTTCTCCTGGTGCTGCCTATGTGGGGGCTCCCTTGTCACTCCTGCTCGCTTCTTTCCTTTATTTATTAAACACCTTTATTGACATACAGTTTACATACCGTACAGCTCACCCATTTAAAGCACATACTTCAGTGTTCTGGGTACATTCACAGAGTCGTGCATCCACCACCTCTGTCCAATTCCAGAACATTCCATCACCGCAAAAGAACCCCATCCCCATCAGCAGTCACTTCCTATCCCTCTTCCCCAGCCCCTGGCAACCAGGAACCCACTTTCTGTCTGGATGTCCTGTTCTGGACATTTCACATCAATGGAATCACACACCACGTGTCCCTCTGTGTCTGGTTCTCTCACTGAGCATCGTGTGTTCAAGGTCCATCCGCGGTGTGGCTGTGTCAGGGCTTCACTCCTTTTCATGGCTGCATCATATTCCAGTGTGTGGGTGCACCCCTGCACCTGTCCCTGTGTGGGTGGACCCCGTGCACCTGTCCGTGTGTGGGTGGATGCCTGATGCACCTGTCCCTGTGTGGATGGATGCCTGGTGCACCTGCCCGTGCGTGGGTGGACGCCAAGCACCTGTCCCTGTTGTGGTGGATGCCCTGCACCCCTGTTCCCGTGTGGGTGGATGCCGTGCCCCTGCCCGTGCGTGGGTGGTTGCCTGGTGCACCTGCCCTGTGTGGGTGGACACTCTCCATGCACCTGCCCGTGCGTGGGTGGTTGCCCGGTGCACCTGCCCTGTGTGGGTGGACACACTCCATGCACCTGCCCGTGCGTGGGTGGACGCCCCGTGCGCCTGTCCCCGTGCGTGGGTGGACGCCGTGCGCCTGCCCGTGCAATGGTGGACACCCTGTGCACCTGTCTGTGTGTGGGTCGACACCCCTGTGCACCTGTCCGCGCGTGGGTGGATGCCATGCACCTGCCCGTGCGTGACTGGAGCCCGGTGCCCTGTCCATGTGTGGGTGGACCCCGTGCACCTGCCCGTGCGTGGCTGGAGCCCGGTGCCCCGTCCATGTGTGGGTGGACCCCGTGCACCTGCCCGTGCGTGACTGGACTCCCCGTGTCCCGTCCATGTGTGGGTGGACCTCCTGCACCTGTTTGCGCGTGGGTGGACGCCCCGTGCACCTGTCCACATGTGGGTGGATGCCCCGTGCACCTGTCCACATGTGGGTGGACGCCCCGTGCACCTGTCCACATGTGGGTGGACGCTCTGTGCACCTGTCCGGTGGCCCCTCACCAGCCTGTCTTGCAGGACTCCTCGTTCCTTGACGACCTCTCCAATGCCTCCATCTTCTCCTCGTCCGTGGACTCCCTCTCAGACATCGCCGACACCCCTGACTTCCTGCCCGCTGACAGCCTCAGCCAGGTGCCCACCATCTGGGACGTGAGCACCGGCCCCTCTGCCCACGACAAGGTCAGTGCCCCTCGGTTTCTGTGCCGTCAGCTGTCCGCAGCCCTGTCCCTGGGCTGGGGCAGGTCTGGGCTGTTCACAGATGCAGACCAGGTTGTGGGTCGAGGGTCCTCATGAAAGGTCTTCTCAGTGCCGCGGGTGGCTGGACCTCCATGCCCTGCCGTGTGTGGGGCCCTGGCTGTCCCCTGCTCTGCTGGGTCTACCAGGAGGTGAGGGAAAAGCCATTTCCAATGTTGGTTCTCCTTCTGGTGATTCTGCTCCCAGAGGACACTGGGCGATGTCTGAGGACATTTGAGGGGTGCTGGTGTCAAGTGGGTGGGGCCCAGGATGCTGCTCACACCCCGCAGCGCAAGGACAGCCGTCACAGAGAATGACCCGGCTCTGAACATCCACAGGCTGAGGGGCGATCCTGGGCTAGAGGAGCATGAGGTTACGTGATGGGACGGAGCTGGTGGGCAGGGAGGGGTCCCCCGGAGAGGCAGTTTCGGGCTGAGGGCTGGAGGAGGAGGCATCAGCCGGGTCAGAGGCAGAAGCAAGTCCGATGGGCTCCGGGGTCAGCGGTGGGCTGAGTGCCTGGCCGGGTGGGAGCCCAGAGGGTGAGGTTGGCAGAATCGGGCCCCGGGTCAAGGCGGGGTTGGACCTGTTTCTCAGCGCAACGGGCAGCTCGTGGCCAGCTTTCTGCAGCGGCTAAAGCCCTGGGGTTGGCGTCCGTGCAGCTCCTCCTGCAGGACGTGAACGGCGGAGGTACTGGGGTGAGGGGGGTCCCAGGTGCGCCATGCCGACATTCCAGTGTCTTCCCAGGACTGCGCAGTGGGGGTATCTGGTGAGGGCAGCAGGGCTCACACCATCCAGGCCTTTCCCACTGCTGGGAGAGGGGGGTGATCTCTTCCATCCAGCAGCTGGACGTAGCCCACACACTAGTGGACGCTGATGGGCACACCCTGCCCGGTCACCTTGAGGGACCACAGGAAGCCCACAGGAAGGGTCTGTGACTGGACAGCAGGACACACGGGCCTGGGAGGTGTGGAGCTGGCGGGGGTGGGAGGTGCCAGGGGCAGCCTGTGCGGTCCCCGCCCTTGGCAGCCTCAGTGGGCGACCCAGGCCCATCCCCGTGCCCGGGCGCAGGGGCGCAGCGGGACAGGGCGCTGCCTGCCTCCAGGGCCCCCCCCACCAGCTCCAGTTCCTCGTGGTGAACGAGAGGCCCGTGCGGCAGGAGGGCATCTGAAACCCAACGCTGCCCGCCTGCCGGCCGCCAGGAACCCTGACTCAGCCTTCCAGGAACCCGGCCTCTTTGTTTGTTTGTTTTTGTTAATTTAAAAACAAAAAGGGAGAGGGAACTGAGTGCAGGTTGCTGGCCTCCCGGTACCTCGCTTCCCTTTTATTTTCTCTCTGAGACAACTGGCGTGTTCTTCACCTTAGAAACAGCGGGAGTCGTGGGAGTTGAGTTGGTCGTCACGTCACCGACCCCCCCCGGGGACCTTGTTGCCCCGAGACCGTCCCTGACACATGTGCTCGGGCGCGGCCCTCACGATCCTCGGTCTTGGGACGGTGGGGTCCATGTGCGGACAGGGTCTGGAAGGGATTTCTCCATTGCTATTGTGGGTCTCACGGTGGGGTTTTTTAAGATGGCCCCACGTGTTACTTTCACGATTTTTATTCATGAGGAGCAAGTATGTTTTGGAATTGCACAGGCCCTGGGGGGCAGGTTGAGGGCCAGGATGTGACTCGGTCTGCTGAGGTTTGGGTCTCGTGTCCCGGCCCGTCTATGGGCTCTGGATGCCGTGTCGATTCTGAGACCCCCGGTAGGCCTCGTCCCCCATGGCTGAGGGACTCCGCCTAGGCACCTGGCTCTGGCCGCCCCGTTTCCATCCCCCTAGACGAGACTCTCGGGCTATCAGTCTCCCCAGGGCCAGACTGTGGTCTGGGACATGTCCCTGCTCTGGTCATCTGTGCGACAGGGGGTTCCAGCCAATTCACCCTGCAGAGGAGCCACCACCCCTGGGGGCTCCTATGCACTGGGGGCAGGAGGAAACACAGGGACTGCCCCTCGGCCCTGTATGCTGCATGAATCGGGCCGCATGTCAGCGCGGGACGAGGCGTGGTCACCACCCTGTCAGGCTCACAGGGCCCAGGCCCACCTGCCTGCCCCTGAGACAGTCCTGCTGGCTCTCGTCCCACCCCCGAGGGACCCAACATGCTCCCCAGTGCATGAAACCTGGCACACAGTGGGTCTCGCCACCAGTCTCTGAGGAGGCCTGTCCTGGGCCTGGACCTTGAAGGGAAGGGGCCTGTCATTCATCAGAACCGGCCAGCCCTGGACGAGGGCAAGAGGACGGCATGGAGAGCCCCCCGGAGGCTGGGCCGGGTCCATCGAGGTGCTTCTTCCTCCCGTCTGGCCTCTGGACTGACGGCCTGTCTCCCCTCCCTCTCCCCTCCAGCTGTTCCTGCCCAGTGGGTCATTTACGGGCTTCCAGGACCCTGTGCCCTCCCTCCCCAGCACCCCACTCCTCATCAGCTACCAGGTGAGCTGGGCCCCTTCCCCAGCCCTGCCTGCTCCTCCTGGGGACTAGGGACGGCCACTCACACTCAGGCACTTGCCCTGTCCTGGGTCCTGGGCTGCCCGTTTCACAGATGGGGAGACTGAGACCCCACCACCCCCGTCACTGGGCTGGCTGGTGGGCCAGGCCCCTGCCCCTTGGCGGGAGGGTGGCTGTGCTGGGGGGGACAGGACCGTCCCCGGCATGACGGCTCGGCCTTCAGTCTCAGAGTCAGCCCGAGGAGGAGGATGAGGCCGAGGAGGACGAGGCGGAGGAGCTGGGCCACACGGAGACCTACGCTGACTATGTGCCCTCCAAGTGTGAGTGTGCCCTGTGGGAGGAGCCCCCAGTGCCCACCACCTGACCACACTGCCCCACTGGGCCTGGGGCGCTGGGTTCCAGGTCGCAAGCAGGGAAGGCAGGCATGGGAGCTGTGGGCAGGCAGGGGGTGGTTCTGCAATCCTGGCGGTAATCCACGCCTGGAACAAACCAGAGTGTGTGAAAGTAAGGCCGCCCCCTGTCCCCCAGCGAGGATTTCAGGGGTCTGCCTCCATCCTTTGTGCCAAGCGCGGATGGGCCCCCTCCCCCTTCTGAGGGCAGCCCCGCCGGAGCTGACCCTGAGACCCCGGCCACGCCCCCTACGCGCCCCTGGTCTGCCCCTCCACCACGCCCCCGTCTGCCCCTGGCCACACCCCCAACCGGGCCTGGACCACGCCCCTGATCCACCTGCGGCTACGCTCTCGCTCGCTCTCGGCCTGCCCGTGGCCTGCCCGTGACCTGCCCTGGGCCACGCCCCCAATCTGGCCCTGGCCACACCCACGACCTGCCCTGGGCCACGCCCCCAATCTGGCCCTGGCCACACCCACGACCTGCCCTGGGCCACGCCCCCAACCTGGCCCTGGCCACACCCACGACCTGCCCTGGGCCACGCC